ACTTAAGCGCTCGGTGGCACCGGTGATGTTGGACATGATTGGATATTTGGAATATGATGATTGGCGAATGGGAATTTATATTGTTTGCTGTAATCGGAACATACCGAAGTGAATGGCGGATCATGCCAAAATTGTGATTTGCAGATTTCCATTGTGCATTAGCCCGATATGGAAATTTATTGCATGTGTGACATAATCAGCCACCACATTAGTTCACGTTGGACTTGTATTTCTTCATCATCGCAGTTCATTGCCACCCCTCATCTTAACACCATTACCACCATTATCACCATGACCGCCATAGTTAACTGGGCCGCTAACAAAGCCAATGCTGGTTTCCTCAATGCAGCCAACAAGGTTGAACATCTTCTGGGGCAGGCTCTCCAATTGAAGCCTGCCGATCCCAAACACATCGCAATTGCGATGGAGATGGCCGCATCTCTTGTAAGTCTTGTTACTTTTAAGTTTCAAATTCTCTAATCTTCGTAGAGTTTTACCTTCAGCAGCTACACCTATTCGGCAACCTCTGTGCCACCCATGGTGCTCTCTGCTGCCGCAGAGATTCATGAGCACCTGGACAACTCCTCCTGCAATGTTGTCAGTGCCCCGGTCTGGTCCAACATTCGCCCAGACGATCCGCGGAGCCAGCATAGCCCGCTTTACCCCCTCACTCTTGCCTATGGCAAACCCCCACCACCCACCAATCCTCCTGTTGCCGGTCCATCTGGATCCAACACTGCAGTCACCCAGGATGCCAATGTCCTTGCAGGCAAGGGCAAAGGCAAGGCAAGGGAAGATCCTGAGGCTGAACCAACAGAACAGCGCGGCCGCGGTATGGAACACAAGCGACTCCGGTGCATGAGTGGCCCCCGCAGTCAGAGTCGCGCGCCAAAGGCAAAACGGCCACGTGCCACCTCCAAGGCCATGATCACCAGCGAGGACGAACAGGAGTTGGACATGGTCGACATTCCCCAACAGCAACCGGCACCAGAGGCCAGGAAGAAGGTAAGTATTCCTTGTTGACTTTGTATATGTGATTTAACCTCCCTGGCAGGCATCCTTGCCCACCAGACTTCCTCCCGCCCTCAAGAAGACCCGGTCGCAAAGCAAGTCGTTCACTGTCACCAGCAACAATGAGGAGGATGCCGAGCCGACGCCCAAACCTCCACCGAAGAAGAAGAAGACGTATGTGGAGATTGATGATGAGATGACGGCGAACATTGGCCCAGTGCCAAAGATGGGCATGCCATATGTTCAGGTTCCGGTAAGTGTTTCCTCCCATCTGGCATTCACCTTCTAATGATATGAAATGTAGCCTGCACCATCAGCTATCGCTGGCAATGACACCGCCGATCCCAACACATGGTCGCCAGGTTGCGGCCCCTGCGTCCTCTGAGGGCTTATATGCCTCCAAGGCTACAACAACTCCGGTGTGGCACTGACCATATGTGAAGCCTGCCACTGCCTCAAGCATAAGTGCAGTGGTAATGGTTCCGCCGTTCCTACCACCAAAGCAAAGAAACTGGCGGTGACCACAACTCGGCGGGGGCGTTCAAAATCTCGCCGCCGAGCATCACTGGTGCATGTCTCTCCAGAGACAGGTGAGTACTCAGTTTTATTTTTATTTTTATCTAAAACTAGATGATTCAGCCACTCCAGCAGCAGCATCTACATCTGGTGCACCTGCACCGGTTGTTGCTACCACCGCCGCTCCCGCTCCCACTCCTGCTTCCGCTCCCATTCCCATTCCCATTCCTACTCCCACTCCCACCACCACACCCATCACCGCTCCTGCCACTGCTGCCGCCCCCACTGCCGCCTCCACTCCTGATGGGCCAGCAGATGCATCTGTTATTGCCCTGAAGGAGCAAATCGAGGCGTTACAATCCACTGTCGCCTCATTGGAGGCAAAGGCCAGCATCAGGGAGAAGCATCTCCTGGAAGCCAATCAGAGATTGGCCGACCAGGAGGCAACTTCAAAACTCCTTGCCGAGCAATTCGAAGAACTTCGCTGGCAGTTGCTCCCTCCCCCAGTCCCTGCATCTCCTGTCGCAGCATGCCTGCCAGTTATTATCGGCAACCTCAGCGGCAACAACAAGAATATTGGCGCAGCAGAAGATGGAGCTGAGCCCATGTCTGGAGCTATTGCCGAGGCTGAAGAAGTAGCTGAGTCCACGTCCGGTGTTGTTGCCCAACCCCATTTCCCAGTGTACTGCCGCTGATACATATCGATCCAGCCAATGCAAACAGACCATCACCGGCAATCATTCCCGATATCTATATGAGCATCTTAATTCCTGGAATACAATCGCCGATGGTAATGGACCATTTGCCAGACCTCATACCTGACATCCATTCCCCGATACTACTTTCCAGCATCCCCTCGCCGAAGCTAATGGGCCGCATTCCAAATGCCCATTTTTTTCGCTGACCCCATTTCCCGGCGTGCTGCTGCTGATACTTATGGACCATGGGCCCACCCGACGGTCATGAGGACTCAATTATGTAGGCCCACCCCTCAATACACATACATTAATTCTGATACCCATGGGCCCACTCCAAAGCATCGAGCACATTCTACTATGGGCCCAGCCCTAACAGTCGGTGGTACTTATGGACCGTGGGCCCACCTGAGGGTGATGAGGACTCAATATTGTAGGCCCACCCCTCAATACACATCTATTAATTCTGACACCCATGGGCCCACTCCAAAGCATCAAGCCCATTCTACTGTGGGCCCACCCCTAACGGTTGGTAACAATGCAACCGTGGGCCCACCCATCAACATCGGATGACAATCTAATGTGGGCCCATGGTGGGCTGGCCCTACACCTATGGAGAAATGTCAACTTGGGCTGGCCGAGTCTATAGGGTCAAGTCACTGAAGGGGCTCCCTGTGCATCCACCAGGTACATAGTCCAGAATTATTGTTGGATGGTGTATTTTCATCCAATTTCGAAACTTCGCTGAGCAGTGCACTGACCACAGGTCTATCTGCCAGATTGCTTTTTGTGAGGGAGGCAGGCCAAGGGCAACCTTCTCTTGCTTGAAGTAGGGTGCGATAATATTGTTCACAAGTGACTCCATGGTCTCGTGAGTTGACCAGTAAGTGTCGGTCTTCGAGAATTCGAAACAAAACCCTTCACTAATGCAATCATCATAGTGCGATGCTGTTGGGCGTGGACAAGATTTTGTAGTGGCACCCTCATAGACCATCTGTAGTGGTAGCATCTTCCCTGAGCATGCAATAGACACAACGGCTGTGAAGGCACATTTTTCGTCCTCACCAATGGTTGACACCTGCATAGCACCACGTTTCGTCCATGTTAAGCTAGATCCCTGTGCGTAGATGACTTGAGTTTGGTCTGTGTTCACATAAAGTGAGGCTGGTATGTCTTCCTCTTTGATTGCATATGCAATATGAAACAACACTTTTTCACACAGGTCTTCCCAATGATCTGGCAATTTATGAGCTGCGCGCATGGACTTCCGCTCTGACCAGTTGAGTGTTGTATGTAGCCACTGTCGGATGAATGAATCTGAACATCGGAATTCAGAGCCGTCGGCTGCCTTGATGTCGAAGATTTTTGGTGCGAGCTGCATGATCAGGGCAACAACAATTCCCCTGATGGTAACAAGGGTCAGTGGGACTGATGCATCTCGCAGTTGATTAAGGTGGGTGATGATGGCCTTCTCAACTGTTGGAAACTGTGTCTGTGAATAATCAGACACAGCAATGTTAATTATAATTGGAAGAGACATACAAAGATTCCTTTCCGGCCGCCTTTGTTACCCTGACCTTGATTGTGCCCATATTCAGCCATTTTCACAGCTTGTTCTGACCATTTTGGCTCATCACCACTTCAGTTGATCCAGCCATTGACAGTGGAATGAGCAAGGCCTGCAAAGCTTTGTGGGTCTTGTCTCTTAAGTAGAGCAATAATCTTGGTCAAGCTCATCTTCCACCCTACCCCAGGATGTTTTGCAGCATTGACAATCTGTGACCACAAGAAGGGTGTGTGCCAATTATGGTACACAGCATCCTTTGGTTCATTTTTCTTCTTTCATCCTTGTAGGTGGGTTTTCTTTCATTGTTGACGCTCCTGTTCTCATGCAGCACGATATGGCCGACTAAGCTCCGCTATAGATGATTTTGACCATTTTCGTGGGCTGTTATCCTCAAGATGGACCATTGTGCGCTCATGACACAGTAAAGTGAGTCCTATGTGAGTCTATGTGAGCTATGTTATCATACCTTCAAATTCAGTTTTGTCCCTCCAGGAGATCTCTCCCCACGAGCCTTCTGTGCCTCGTAAATTACTTGGCAATGCTTTTGTTGCCGTAAGTTGTTGTTCTTTCTCGTTTCAAGCCTGCGATGCTGAGTTTTAAGGCTAGCCATTGCCTCAGCTTCTTGTCTCCCCTCCTCCAACATCAAATCCACTTTCTTCATCTGATGGCAAAGTTCCTCAGGTGTGCATTTTGTGAGAAACCTCATTAACCCTCGTGGTCGTCCCTCTGCCTGTTTACAGGAGTGCAATATGGATTGCAGAATCTTGATGGATCTTCTGTGGCTTGTTTTGGTCTGGGCTTGGATGCAGAGTCAAAGGAGCCCTCATATGAGAGGTTCATTTCATGGACTTGATTGGCATGCTCAAAGTTAATGGTTGTTGAAGGAGATCATCATTGGAGTCTGAGTCAAAGGAGCTCTTCTCTTTGGTAGTTTCATCCTCTTTGCTGGTAGCTTCTTCTGATGATGTGAATGAAGGTAGTGATTCCATATCAAAATTCTTTGGCATTGCAAAGGTAAAGTTGTAGCCAGGTTTGATGTTGAAGCTCTACACAACATAGATTTAGCTCAACAATCAGAAATCAAGGGCTTGTAGAATGATCTGACCTGGTTGAGGTGTCGTCTTCCGACCTTGAGTAAGATTTTTAGCCTCTCATCATCCACCTTTTTCATGTCCATTAGTGGATATTCACTTGGCAAGAAGAAGTGTGCAAGTGCATTAACAGACAGGAGCCCACATGAGAATGAGTCCACTTGGTGGACTATCTCTAGACTCCTGACGGTAAAGTGATGTCCAGTATGATGATTAGACCACCACTGAAGGACATCAATTGGCATCAGTAAAACCACCAATTCCTTTTCTAGCCTTATGTTCCTTAATGTGCTTTCAAATTTTGTCACGACGAGTCTAAACCAGCTTACTCCTTGCTTTTTGTACTTTATTTCCTTACTACTGAAAGCAAATCAAGACAAACAAGTGAAAATCGACTGACAATCAAATTTAGAATAATAAGTAGTACAGTGTAAATATAATTTAAGAGTCTATGACGCAATTTCAAAGGAGTGATGGTCGGCGTATTTGTTGATGTAGAATCTGCAGAAGGAATCATATGTCTGATAATGCTGGAGGTTGGGGGAAATGAATCAACTGCTGTAGACGGGAATAAGGTGAGCAGTGCGGTATATTGAGTCAACATGAATGATGGCAATATGGGGAGCATTGTTGGCATGGTGAGCGGGCTGCACCATCCACATACCGGTGTCGTCGTCAGGCAACTCTCCAAGAGTATTGAACCACCACACAATTGCACATGGATATGTTTCAGTCCTGTAAGTGAAAGAGAAAAATGTCAGTACTCGAGCGACATCCATCCCCCTCATTCCCTCAAGGTCCGGATTTGTGTTGACAAAGATGCAGTCATAGCGCGGGTGCTCCTTCCTCCATGCTGGACATGCACGGATGTGCTCGCGGTGCATGCCGCCGATGCCACTGAGATTGCTGGGGGCAACAAACCTCGAACATGCTGAATTAAAAACATTAATTCTTTCGTCATATTGTGGACAATTCACAGGAGGAATGTGCAATGGATCACAGGGGTCGTTCGGATTGAGTTGCACAAAAAGGAAGCGGCACACCATGTTCGGGAGCTGGGGAATCGACAGTTCCAACGCTAATGCAGACACCGTGCGGGTGCGGTTGCGTTCTAGTGCACGATGTGACATTTGTTAGCAAAGATAAACAAGGGTTATAATGAGAGAACTTATGAGGCGTCTTCACCAATTCCACGTGTGCTTGGATAATGGTCGGGCCAGTGTCTATTTCAACATCCCCGACATCCTCATCCTCCTGCACATTCACCTCAGGCTCGGCGTCCTCTCGCAAAGGATTTCCAGGCTCATCATTTGCAATTCAGATCAGTTCTGTTGTAGAGTTAGTTGTAGCACATTGAATGTAGTAGTTTTAGACTCACCTAATGCGTTAATAGCTGCTGAAAGGCACGTCCTGTCAAGCATCCCACGGGTTGTAAAGTCAGTTTGTGCTGCTGCTAGTTTGTCCAGGTGCTGGTTAGTGACCAGCATCTGACTGAGTGCCTTATATTGACTTGAGTGCCACCACGGTTCTTTAATGGCTTTGATGTGTTTTGATTCGGTAATTGAGGAACACAGACCATTAAAAGCACCAAAAAGGTGTATGAGGTGAATATAGTGTTGAAGGGAGTGTTGACAGGGGAGCAAGAACATTTCAATGACTTCGGTAGTCTTGAAAATTTCTCAGTACTGGTGGAAACGGTCAAGAGTGTCTTGGATTTCATCAATGTTATGACCAATGTTCACCAATAATGATGAAGGTGAGCACACAACCACTAGGACTCAGTCAGAGAGGATAACGAACAAGATGGTATTGAGCGTGAACGTCTAAGGAGTACTTACGCTAACTAACCTACTTATATACATAACATTGAATAGGAGTCTGAAAGAAATCAGCCAATGAGAAAAGAATCGTACGATACTGCGGATGACTAAGTATGACATCATGATATATAAGCGAATGAGTAATACGGCAACTAAGTAGAAAACCAAGCTCCGACTGGTTCTTCTTTGGGAAGCAAGATTGTTCTAGCCCATGGAGTAGGAGAGCCAATCAGAGAAACCACGGGTGAGATGTGAAGAGGTGAAGGTGTGACAGGGTGAGAAGTCATGTGACCGATTTGGGTATTGGAAGTAGCCGAAGGAAAACCGAGAAATGAAAAATGGTTCGTATTTGGGATTCGTGACATTACCCCCTTTCTAGGATGAGCGTCCTCGTGAATGTAAGATGGTCGTATATTTTTCTGTCTCCATTTGAGGAAATCAGGGGTTGTCAGAATTGAAGCGGAGATCTGTGCCGATTTAACCGCATTAGGGGTTTCTGCATAAAAGTCGGCTACTATGAGCGGCGCATTCTTCACATCTTCCTCTGACTGCCATGTTGCTTCTTCTACTGCATATCCTTTCCATTTTACTAAATACTGCAACTTGCGTCTGTATAGGCGGCTTTGCAATATTTGCTCTGCTTCATATTCTGGGACTTGGTCAACAATCTCCGGAGGCGGACGTGTTTGTGGCGGGCGGTCAACAAGTTGTGAGGTTTGATGCGGGGTGAGTAGCGATACGTGGAAGACAGGATGAACGCGATATTTACTAGGGAGCTTTAACTTGTAGTTTAGCTCGCCAGTCTTCTCTTCGATTTCAAATGGTCCCAGATGGCAGTTGGACAACTTTTGGCTCGGACGGCATTGTTTGATATTTGTCATGTCTAACCATACCTTGTCGCCTGGTTTGAATTGTGGTGCGTCTTTTACCTTCTGGTCATAAAAGCGCTTCATTTGATCATTCGCTATTTCTAGCATCGCCTTCATCTCTTCTTGTGCCTCCTTCATCTCAGCTAGTCTCTGATCGGCTTGGGGAATTGTATTGGAAGAATTAGGGGAAATTGTGAATTCAGGATAATAGCCGTAGACACATTTGAATGGGGAATGTCCAGTGACTGTTACAGAATTATTATGCGTGAATTCAGCAATTGGAAGCCAAGAAACCCAATCATTCTGACAGTAGGATGTGAAGAGTCGTAGGTACTGTTTGACTTCTTGATTGACTCGTTCCGTTTGTCTGTTGGTCTGTGGGTGATATGCTGTTGACATGGACCACTGGGTTCCTGGTCATTTCGAGACTTCCTGCATGAACTTGGACACAAACTGTGTTCCCCTATCCGAGATCACCTTCTTCGGTGTTCCGTGTAACTTCCATATTTGATTGAGAAATAAGTCCGCGACTCCCTTAGAATCAACATCTTTGGTGGTTGGAGCAAGATGTGCTTGCTTTGTGAAATGATCAATGACTACCAAAATACTGTCTTTGCCCTGGGAGATGGGTAGATTGGTGATGAGGTCGCAGCTAATGGTTTGCCATGGCCCTTCTGGAACCTCGTTTGGCTTCAATGGTCCGTGGGGTTTTGATGGTAGCACCTTCGTTTGCTTGCATCGATCACATCCATCTACATAGTCATTGACCCACTTCTGCATCTGAGGCCACCAATAGTTTCGCGAGACAAGTTCAAGAGTCTTGGCACGTCCCATGTGTCCTGCTGCAGGCGAGTTGTGGAAGATCTCTAGCACTGAGCGACGAATTTCCTTATTATTGGGAACGTAGACCAATCCTCTCAACAGAATAAGTCCATCCTCTGTATTCCACTCTTCCAATCCTTTTCTCAACTGTACGGGGCCTTCTTCAGAGTTTTGATAGCATTTCGGACTTCCGGATCTAAATCGGTACAGTTTCTGATACACTTCAACAGCGAATGCTCTCCTTCTATCAGAATCTGACCTCTTTTTGCGACTTTGATATGAAAAAACTCGGGTTTCAGAAGCACGCGATCGGAATTGTCGTTTTCTACCCCCCCTCTGTGGTCTGGCCTCCTGGACAGAGCGTCGGCAGTGTCATTAACCTTTCCCGGTTTGTGTTGCAGAGTGAAATTGTACTCTGCAAGGAACAAGGACCACCTTGCCTGTCTACAAGTTAACTTCTGGCTTGTCATGAAGTACTCAAGGTTTTTATGGTCCATCCAGATCTCTACCGGATGAGGTGTGCCCTGCACATAATGTCTCCACTCCTCCAATGCGCGGATGATGGCTAAAAGTTCTTTGTCGTGAATGTCGTAATTATGCTCTGCATCCTGCATTGTTTTGCTAAAAAAGGCCACTGGGTGCCATAGTCCATCTTCTTCCAACTGAGAAAGTACACCACCAGTAGCGTAGTCAGATGCGTCACTTTCTATCCTTTGTTTTTTATTCGCATCTGGCATGACTAGCACTGGCGCGGAAGTGAAACTGTCCTTCAGAGCTTTGAAAGCCTTCTCTTGTTTGTCCGTCCATTCCCATGGTACATCCTTTCTGATGAGTTCATTCATGGGTCTGGCAATGTTTGAGAAACCGAGAATGAATTGACGATAAAAGTTCGCAAATCCCATGAATCATTGAATGTCCCCGACACAGGTAGGAGTGGGCCATTCCTGAACTCCTTTAACCTTGACCAGATCCATAGAGATGTGTCCATCTTTGACGATCAAACCAAGAAACTCCACTTCCTTCTTCTCAAAAGAACACTTTTCCGGTTTGAGATAGAGATCATTGTCCTGTAGTCTCTGTAGTACCTCGCGCACTACCTTCCGATGTTTCTCTACATCACCATTGGTGAAAACCAAGATGTCATCAATGTAGACTACAACGACCTTTCCTTCCTTAAGATCTTGGAAGATCTGGTCCATCATAGTTTGGAAGGTAGCTGGGGAGTTCATCATGCCGAAGTACATTACGACTGGTTCATGATGTCCGAAAGGAGTTTTGAAGGCAGCCATCCATTGGTCTCCTTCTCTCATTCTGATATTATTATAGCCCCATCGAACGTCCATTTTCGAAAAAACCTTTGCACCAGAGAGTCGATCAATAAGGTCCTGAGAGCGAGGGAGAGGGTATGCATTTCGGATGGTTTTCTCATTCAACCTCCGATAGTCCATGACAGGTCCAAGCTTTCCATCCTTCTTAGCAACAAAGAAGAAAGGAGCTGCTACTGGAGATTCGCTATCTCTCAGTTGTCCCAAGTCATATTCCTGCTTCAACCACTTCTCACATGCGTCATTTTCAGCGGGGGACAGAGGATATGCCTTTGCATTGGGAGGAAGATCATTAGGGTCCTTGAGGTCTACCTTGTGATCCCACTTCTTAGACTCGGGGAATCGAGTAGACTCTTCTTCGGAAGAAGACCTTAAGATAATCATGGAGCCAGTCCGGCACCATTTCTTCTACGGGCTTCTTTTCCTTCTTCTTCTCCTCCTGCTGCGCCAACTCTGATGCCACCGAACTCTTGTACCTGATCCACACATTCTGTGATGAATCCTCATCCTCGACTTCCTCGATCTGCACCTTCTGACCAACAGTAGTAGCAAGGTCCAATTGTTCTTCATCCTCAAGCCTGACAGGTATAGTACCCACATGTCCGTACATTTTAGAGCTGAGGCTGTTAGACTGAACCCAATGATGGATAGAGGCTTCCTCGATATCCTCATCTTCGTCATCTTCTGCCGGTATCAAATTGGGCAACACCGAAAGGATCGAAGAGTTCATAGCTTTTCTCTTCTTCGCCTTAGTCTTTTTGACCTTGACCTTGGCTTCTTGACATTTAACCAGGCAACGGTCTAATGCCACCTTCCCTGCATTCTAATTGATACTGGGATTGTGAAATTGTAGCCAATCTATTCCAATGATAACATCATCGGATCCTAGGTCTGTGACCAGAAAGGCTACTTCTTCCTCATGATCCCCTATCATAAGCTTCAAATCTGCATAATGTGTAATTGGTCCAGCGGAATTGTCTGTTTCATCAATATTATGGATTGACATTGCTCTCAGCAACTGTTTGGTTTGAACTTGATTTTTTTCTATGAATTTTTTGCTGAGGAAAAGGTTCGTTGCTCCACAATCCACTAGAGCATTGACAGCTGCTTTTTTGTGTTTCCCTTCCAACGTAACTGGCAAGTAGAAATGGTCTTGTTTATTCCCAGAACAAACTTCTGATACTTCTGCAAACATAATTGCCGAGTCACCGAGAATGGAAAAACGATTTCTCTGATCTAAGTCTGCAGTTGACTTTGATCTCCCTAAAAACCCTTTTGTTCCTCTTTCTTCGCTGGATTATACATGGTGGAGAGGCAGATGCACTCGTTCACGATGCGGTTAATATCTTTCAGGGTGAGTGCTTTCACTGCTGGAACTTCTTCGGTTTTACTGGCACGGACAGCTGGTCCTTTGCCCTTTGGGTCAAGTGGCTTTCCCGTGCAGTTACGGGCCATATGCCCTTCTTCTCTGCAGTGATAGCAAATGAACTTTGCTCCCTGTTGTCCTTGAGGCCGGGGTCTGCCTCCTGCTCTGGTTGCATCTACGTCCATGGCATTTCCTCCCTGTGACGTGGTCTTGGGTGCTCCAGCTGGTGCGGGTGGAACAGCGGAGCCTCGCCAAGGTTGTCATGGAGTGAAGTTCATCTTCCTCTCGTCATCAAGCTCCTCGAGGTTCTGCCCGACTAGGAGCGCCTCCCTGATCAATCCTTCCAGGGTATCTTTCCTGTTAGGGTGGATATTGGCCAGGTAGTTTTTGACTCGCTGGTCCAATCCATGACGGAGTTTGCGCATTAACTCGTAGTGGGAGAAATGA